CTAGAAGTTACGTATTGCTGCTTTCATTCTGCCCATCTTCCTGAACAAGCAACACCTCCTCCAGCAAGCTCCACGCTGTTAGCATTCATTCAATCAGAGGCCATCAACAGGCAACATCTTCTAACGAAGCTCCCACATTCCTACTCTTCAACACGCTACCCAATGAACGTCTTCTACTGAGCAGCTCTCACCACACGGCACCTCCAGCACCAACCAGACTGTCTATCATATAACTTAATTATATAAGAACACCACATTAGAGTTTCCTTCCATCCGGCGCTGCAACAATTATGACTACCCCCTACAGTGTTGTGTGAGTGCATCCTATGAACTACCAACACTCTGTGGAGTATCTAAAGTAAGGTTGTCTTATAACTGCAAGAACGAGAAGTACCAGTCAATGTGAGAAGTGAAGTTGTCACCCAGGGACTGCCCCAGAAAGCCAAGGAGCTTGCCTGTGACTATGTATTGTGAGTAGGCAAGTGAACTGGTACTGCAATGTAACGTGCAACAACACCAGAAAGGGTGTGAGTAATAAGAGTAAAATATCTGAGTAACTTGCAGAGGAGTAAAATTAAGAAAAAATAAGTAAATAAGAAATACTGAGTTTGGTGGCGCCCCCAGAGGTCATTAGGGGAATGTCGCCCCAAGGCTCTTCTGGGAAGGATGCCCCAGGGTCTCCTCAGGGTCAGCGGTACACTCCCCAGGGGATCTTTCAGAAAGTGGGGCCCCCTAAGGGCCAGCTAGACCCCATAAAGCCCCAGGGTAAGTAGCCAAGAGAACATTGCTTTTAACGTCGTGGTGTCGCATTACATACGTCCACTCAACTTACTTAGCTGTGATTGCGGATTAAATATAAATCCAAATAACAGCCAATAGAGAATAGGCAGTCGTCAGCACAACACCCCAACTCTATGTTTTCCTGTTGATATTTATTCTCCTTACATTGTTGATGGTGTGATGATACTGGATATGCTATGGGCGGTGTTTCTATTCATATCTCCCAGTTCTAAATAAAAACAACTGCCCACCACGTCAATCCAGTGATATAGCCCCTGGGGCCCATTTGCTCACCAGGTGTGTCGCCCTGCGCTTAGGCTGTCGGTGCCCCGAGGGCCTTGCCATGGGTGGCGGCGCACCCAGGGCCCTGCCATGGGTGGTGGCGGCACCCAGGGGCTTTACCAAGTGCGGTGGCGCCCACAGGGTCTCCTACACTGTGCCCCAGGACACCTCAGTCTGCTCAGGGGCCCGGCCAGGTAACGTCACCCCCAGGGCCCGCCAAGGGTAACGTCGCCCAAGCGGGCCCTTCTTAGGGAAGGATGCCCCAGGAACTCTCCTCAGGGTCAGCGGCCCCAGGGATCTTCCAGAGCAGGGGCCCCAAGGGCCGGCTAGACCCTAAGGCCCCAGAGGAGCCCTGCAGAGAGAACTCAGCCCGGTGTGGTGTCGTATATTACATACGTCCAGCAATCCCTTACTTAACTGTGATTGGTGACTAAAATGTAAATCCAAATAACAGCCAATAGGAGAACAGAGCAGACAGTCAGCACAACACCCAGCTTATGTTTTCCCTGTTGGATATTTATTCTCCTTTACATTGTTGATGGTGTGATGATACTGATATGCGATGGGTGGTGTTTTTATTCATATCTCCCAGTGTTCTAAATGTGCAAAAAACAACTGCCCCCACGGCCAATCCAGTGATAGTGCCCCTGAGGCCCTACTATTTGCCCACCAGGTGCGTCGCCCCTTAGGGGCCCTCCCGGTTCTGTCTGCGCCCTGAGGGGACCTGCCATGGGTGGCACCCAGCCCCTGCCATGGGTGGTGGCGCACCAGGGGCTACTTCAGGTGCGGTGGCACCACAGGGTCTCTCCCAGGGGCACCGGTGCCCCAGGACACCTCTGTGTGGCCCCCTCAGGGGCCCGCCAAGGGGGAACGTCACCCCCAGGGGCCCACGCCTGCGTAACGTCGCCTTAGGGCCCACCAAGGGGTAACGTCACCCCCAGGGCCCGCCAAGGGTAACGTCGCCCCAAGGGCCCTTCTAGGAAGCGGATGCCCCCAGGAACTCTCCCTCAGGGTTCAGGCACTGGGATCTTCCAGAGTGCTTGGCCCCCAAGGGCCGGTTAGACCAAGCCCAGAGGAGCCCCAGCGAGAGAACTGTAGCTCCGGTCGCTGAAGTCTTACATACGTCTGCGCAATCCCTTACTTAACTGTGATTGGTGGACCAAAATGTAAATCCAAACAATCGCCAGGAGAACAGAGCACACAGTCAGCACAACACCCCAGCTTATGTTTTCCTGTTGGATATTTATTCTCCTTACATTGTTGACGTGTGATGATACGGATATGCGATGGGTGTTTTTATTCATATCTCCCAGTGTTCTATATGTGCAAAAACAACTGCCCCCACACGCCAATCCAGTGATAGTGTCCCCTGAGGCCCACTATTTGCCCTACCAGGTGCGTCACCCAGGGGTTTCTCCCAGGCTGTCGGTGCCCTGAGGGCCTTTGCCATGTGGCGGCGCACCCAGGGGCCCTGCCAGGGTGGTGGCGCACCCAGGGCTTTACCAGGTGCCGCGGCGCCCAGAGGGTCTCTCCTAGGGGCACTGGTGCCCCCAGGACACCTCTCAGGTGGTGGCGCCCCAGGCGCCCGCGAAGAACGTCACCCCAGGGGCCCGCCAAGGTAACGTCTCACCCAGGGCCCGCCAGGGCAACGCCCCCAGGGCCCGCCAGGTAACCGTCGCCCCAGGGCCCTTCAGGGGCGATGCCCCCAGAACTCTCCTCAGGGTCAGCAGACCCCAGGATCTTCCAGAAGGGGCCCCAAGGGCCGGCAGGACCCCTGAGGGCCCTCCCAAGGAGCCCCCTGCCGAGAGAAACCGTAGCTCCGGGTCGTGCGGTCGCATGATATTACATACGTCCAGCAATCCTCACTTAACTGTGATTGGTGGACTAAAATGTAAATCCAAATAACAGCCAATAGAGAACAGAGCCGACAGTCAACACAACACCCAGCTTATGCTTTTCCTGTTGGATATTTATTCTCCTTTACATTGTTGATGGTGTGATGATACTGATATGCGATGGGTGTGTTTTTATTCATATCTCCCAGTGTTCTCAAAAGTAAAAAACAACCGCCCCACGGGCTAGAAGATAGTGCCCCTGAGGCCCCATTTGCACCAGGTGCGTCACCTTCGGGCCTCCTGTGGCTGTCGGTGCCCCGAGGCCTTGCCATGTGACGGCGCACCCATGGGCCTCCTGCTACGGGGTGGTGGCGCACCCAGGGGCTTTACCAGGTGCGGTGCCCACAGGGTCTCTCCCTAGAGCACGGTGCCCAGGCCACCTCAGGTATGGTGGCGCCTCAAGGGCCCGCCAAGGAGGAACGTCACCCCCAGGCCCGGTAAGGGGTAACGTCGTCCCCAGGGCCCGGCAGTAACGTCGCCCCCAGGGCCCGCCAAGGGTAACGTCGCCGCAGCCCTTTCTAGGGAAGCGATGCCCCCAGGAACTCCTCAGGGTCAGCAGCCTCAGGGATCTTCTAGAAGCAGGGGCCCCAAGGGCCGGCTAGGACCCAAGGGCCTCCCAGAGAACCCCCTGCCGAGAGAACTGTAGCCCGGGTCGTGGTGTCGTACATATTACATACGCCCAGCAATCCCTTACTTAACTGTGATTGTGGACTAAAATGTAAATCCAAATAACAGCCAATAGGAGAACAGAGCAGACAGTCAGCACAACACCAGCTTATGTTTTCCTGTTGATATTTATTCTCCTTTTACATTGTTGATGGTGTGATGATACTGATATGCGATGGGTGGTGTTTTATTCATATCCCCAGTTCTAAATGTGCAAAAACAACTGCCCCCACGGCCAATCCAGTGATAGTGCCCCTGAGGCCCTACTATTTGACCAGGTGCGTCGCCCTTAGGGCTCTCCTGCGCCGGTGCCCCGCAGGGGCCTTGCCATGGGTGGTGGCGCACCCAGGGGCTTTACCAGGTGCGGTGGCGCCCCACAGGGTTCCTCCTAGGGGCACCGGTGCCCCCAGGACACCTCTCAGGTGTGGTGGCGGCCTCAGGGGCCCGCCAAGGGGGAACGTCACCCCAGGCCCGCCAAGGCACGTCACCCCCAGGCCCACCAAGGGTAACGTCGCCCCCAGGCCCGCCAGGCAACGTCGCCCCAAGGGGCCCTTCAGGAAGCGATGCCCCACGAACTCTCCTCAGGGTCACGGTGCCCCATGGGATCTTCCAGCAATGGGGCCCCAAGGGCCGGCTAGACCCCTAAGGCTCCCAGGCCCTCCCAGAGGAGCCCCCAGCCAAGAGAACTATAGCTTTGCGTCGTGGTGTCGTGCATATTACATACGTCCACCAATCCTCACTTAGCTGTGATTGGTGATTAAAATATAAATCCAAATAACAGCCAATAGGAGAATAGGGCAGACAGTCAGCACAACACCCCAACTTATGTTTTCCTGTTGGATATTTATTCTCCTTACATTGTTGATGGTGTGATGATACTGGATATGCGATGGGTGGTGTTTTATTCATATCTCCCAGTGTTCTAAATGTGCAAAAAACAACTGCCCCACGGCCAATCCAGTGATAGTGCCCCTGAGGCCCTACTATTTGCCCCACCAGGTGCGTCGCCCTTAGGGGCTCTCCCGGTTCTGTCGGTGCCCCCGAGGGGACTCTGCCATGGGTGGCGGCGCACCCAGGGGCCCCGCTGCCGGGTGGTGGCGCACCCCTGGGGCTTTACCAGGTGCGGTGGCGCCTGCAGGGTCTCTCCTAGGGGCACCGGTGCCCCAGGACACCCTCTCAGGTGTGGTGGCGGCCCTCAGGGGCCCGCCAAGGGGGAACGTCACCCCCAGGGGCCCGCTAAGGGGTAACGTCACCCCCAGGGGCCCACCAGGTAACGTCGACCCCAGGGCCCGCCAGGGGTAACGTCGCCCCAAGGCCCTTCTTAGGGAAGCTGATGCCCCCAGGAACTTCCCTCAGGGTTCAGCTGCCCCAGGGATCTTCCAGAAGCAGTTGGGCCCCAAGGGCCGGTTAGACCCTAAGGGGCCCTCCCAGAGGAGCCCCCAGCCGAGAGAACTGTAGCCCGGGTCGAGACATATTACATACGTCCAGCAACCCTTACTTAACTGTGATTGGTGGACTAAAATGTAAATCCAAATAACAGCCAATAGGAGAACAGAGCAGACAGTCAGCACAACACCCCAGCTTATGTTTTCCTGTTGGATATTTATTCTCCTTTACATTGTTGATGGTGTGATGATACTGGATATGCTATGGGCGGTGTTTTTATTCATATCTCCCAGTGTTCTATATGTGCAAAACAACTGCCCCCACACGTCAATCCAGTGATAGTGTCCCCTGAGGCCCTACTATTTGCCCTACCAGGTGCGTCACCCTTAGGGGCTCTCCCCAGGGCTGTCGGTGCCCTGAGGGGCCTTGCCATGTGTGGCGGCGCACCCAGGGGCCCTGCCATGGGTGGTGGCGACCCAGGGGCTTTACCAGGTGCCGGGGCGCCCAGAGGGTCTCTCCTAGGGGCACCGGTGCCCCCAGGACACCTCTCAGGTGTGGTGGCGCCCTCAGGGGCCCGCCAAGGAAGAACGTCACCCCCAGGGGCCCGCCAAGGGGTAACGTCGCCCCCAGGGGCCCGCCAAGGGGTAACGTCGCCCCCAGGGGCCCGCCAAGGGGTAACGTCGCCCCAAGGGGCCCTTCTTAGGGGAAGCGATGCCCCCAGGAACTCTCCTCAGGGTCAGCGGTGCCCCCAGGGGATCTTCCAGAAGCAGTGGGGCCCCAAGGGCCGGCTAGACCCTAAGGGGCCCTCCCAGAGGAGCCCCCTGCAGAGAGAACTGTAGCTCCGGGTCGTGGTGTCGTACATATTACATACGTCCAGCAATCCCTTACTTAACTGTGATTGGTGGACTAAAATGTAAATCCAAATAACAGCCAATAGGAGAACAGAGCAGACAGTCAGCACAACACCCCAGCTTATGTTTTCCTGTTGGATATTTATTCTCCTTTACATTGTTGATGGTGTGATGATACTGGATATGCGATGGGTGGTGTTTTTATTCATATCTCCCAGTGTTCTAAATGTGCAAAAAAACAACTGCCCCCCACGGCCAATCCAGTGATAGTGCCCCCTGAGGCCCTACTATTTGCCCTACCAGGTGCGTCGCCCTTAGGGGCTCTCCCGGTTCTGTCGGTGCCCCGAGGGGCCTTGCCATGGGTGGCGGCGCACCCAGGGGCCCTGCCATGGGTGGTGGCGCACCCAGGGGCTTTACCAGGTGCGGTGGCGCCCACAGGGTCTCTCCTAGGGGCACCGGTGCCCCCAGGACACCTCTCAGGTGTGGTGGCGCCCTCAGGGGCCCGCCAAGGGGGAACGTCACCCCCAGGGGCCCGCCAAGGGGTAACGTCGCCCCCAGGGGCCCACCAAGGGGTAACGTCGCCCCCAGGGGCCCGCCAAGGGGTAACGTCGCCCCAAGGGGCTCTTCTTAGGGGAAGCGATGCCCCCAGGAACTCTCCTCAGGGTTCAGCGGTGCCCCCAGGGGATCTTCCAGAAGCAGTGGGGCCCCAAGGGCCGGTTAGACCCTAAGGGGCCCTCCCAGAGGAGCCCCCTGCCGAGAGAACTGTAGCTCCGGGTCGTGGTGTTGTACATATTACATACGTCCAGCAATCCCTTACTTAACTGTTATTGGTGGACTAAAATGTAAATCCAAATAACAGCCAATAGGAGAACAGAGCAGACAGTCAGCACAACACCCCAGCTTATGTTTTCCTGTTGGATATTTATTCTCCTTTACATTGTTGATGGTGTGATGATACTGGATATGCGATGGGTGGTGTTTTTATTCATATCTCCCAGTGTTCTAAATGTGCAAAAAAACAACTGCCCCCACGGCCAATCCAGTGATAGTGCCCCCTGAGGCCCTACTATTTGCCCTACCAGGTGCGTCGCCCTTAGGGGCTCTCCCGGGGCTGCCGGTGCCCCGAGGGGCCTTGCCATGGGTGGCGGCGCACCCAGGCTTTACCAGGTGCGGTGGCGTCACAGGGTCTCCTAGGGCACCGGTGCCCCCAGGACACCTCTCAGGTGTGGTGGCGGCCCTCAGGGCCTGCCAAGGGGAACGTCACCTAGCTCCGCCAAGGCAAATGTCAGATCTCCCCAGGGGCCCACCAAGGGGAAACGTCGCCCCCAGGAGCCTGTCAAGGGGTAACGTCGCCCTAAGGGGCTCTTCTATAGAAGCGATGCCACCACGGGCTCTCCTCAGGGTCAGCGGTGCCCCCAGGGGATCTTTGAGAAGCAGTGGCGCCCCAAGAGGCAGCTGGACCCTCAGGAGCCCTCTCAGGGGCCCTACCAGAGGAGCCTCCTACCAAGAGACCTATAGCTTTCGGTCGTGGTGTCTTACATATTACATACGTCCACCAATCCCTTACTTAACTGTGATTGGTGGACTAAAATATAAATCCAAATAACAGCCAATAGGAGAATAGGGCAGTCAGTCAGCACAACACCCCAACTTATGTTTTCCTGTTGGATATTTATTCTCCTTTACATTGTTGATGGTGTGATGATACTGGATATGCTATGGGCGGTGTTTTTATTCATATCTCCCAGTGTTCTAAATGTGCAAAAACAACTGCCCCCACACGTCAATCCAGTGATAGTGTCCCCTGAGGCCCTACTATTTGCCCTACCAGGTGCGTCACCCTTAGGGGCTCTCCCAGGGCTGTCGGTGCCCCGAGGGGCCTTGCCATGGGTGGCGGCGCACCCAGGGGCCCTGCCATGGGTGGTGGCGCACCCAGGGGCTTTACCAGGTGCCGTGGCGCCCAGAGGGTCTCTCCTAGGGGCACCGGTGCCCCCAGGACACCTCTCAGGTGTGGTGGCGCCCTCAGGGGCCCGCCAAGGAAGAATGTCACCCCCAGGGGCCCGCCAAGGGGTAACGTCGCCCCCAGGGGCCCGCCAGGGGGTAACGTCGCCCCCAGGGGCCCGCCAAGGGGTAACGTCGCCCCAAGGGCCCACCAAGGGTAACGTCACCCCAGGCCCGACAAGGTAACGTCGCCCCCAGGGGCCCAACAGGGGTAACGTCACCCCTAGGGCCCGCCAAGGATGTAACGTCGCCCCCAGGGGCCCAACAAGGGTAACGTCACCCCCAGGGCCCGCCAGGGTAACGTCATTCCCCAGGGGCCCACCAAGGGGTAACGTCGATTCCCCAGAGGCCCGCCAAGGTAATCGTCGCCCCAAGGCCCTTCTTAGGGAAGGATGCCCCCAGGAACTCTCCTCAGGGTCAGCGTCACCCCAGGATCTTCTAGAAGCAGTGGGGCCCCAAGGGCCGGCTAGGACCCTAACCCCAGAGGAGCCCCTGCGAGAGAACTGTAACCGGGTCGTGGTGTCGTACATATTACATACGCCCAGCAATCCCTTACTTAACTGTGATTGGTGACAAAAAATGTAAACCAATAACAGCCAATAGGAGAACAGAGCAGACAGTCAGCACAACACCCCAGCTTATGTTTTCCTGTTGGATATTTATTCTCCTTTACATTGTTCATGGTGTGATGATACTCGATATGCGATGGGTGGTGTTTTATTCATATCTCCCAGTGTTCTAAATGTGCAAAAAAACAACTGCCCCCACGGCCAATCCAGTGATAGTGCCCCCTGAGGCCCTACTATTTGCCCTACCAGGTGCGTCGCCTTAGGGGCCTCCCGGGCTGTCGGTGCCCGAGGGCTCAAGCATGGGTGGCGACGCAAATCCAGGGGCCCTGGCCATGGGTGGTGGTGCACCCAGGCTTTACCAGGTGCGGTGGCGCCTACAGGGTGCTCTCCTAGGGGCACAGGTGCCCCCAGGACACCTCTCAGGTGTGGTGGCGTATTCCCCAGGGGCCCGCCAAGGAGGAACGTCACCCCCAGGGGCCCGCCAGTGGGGAACCGTTGCCCCCAGGGGCCCGCCAAGGGGTAACGTCGACACCCCCAGGGCCCGCCACAGGGTAACGTCGCCCCAAGGGGCCCTTCTAGGGAAGTGCTGATGCCCCAGGAACTCCTCCTCAGGGTCAGCGGTGTACCCCCAGGGATCTTCCTTCCAGAAGCAGTGGGGCCCCCGGCAATGGCTAGACCCCAAGGACCCTCCCAGAGGAGCCCCCGCCGAGAGAACTGTAGCTCCGGGTCGTGGTGTCGCATACACAAGGGCGTCCAGCAATCCCTTACTTAACCGTGATTGGTGGACTAAAATGTAAATCCGGGGACAATGTTTCAATAGGAGAACAGAGACAGTCAGCACAACACCCCAGCTTATGTTTTCCTGTTGGATATTTATTCTCCTTTACATTGTTGATGGTGTGATGATACTGATATGCGAGGTGGTGTTTTATCTGCTATCTCCCAGTGTTCTAAATGTGCAAAAACAACTGCCCCCACGGCCAATCCAGTGATAGTGCCCCTGAGGCCCTACTATTTGCCCTACCAGGTGCGTCGCCCTTAGGGGCCTCCCGGGCTGTCGGTGCCCCCCGAGGGCCTTGCCATGGTGCATGGCGCACCCAGGAGCCCTGCCATGGGTGGTGGTGCACCCAGGGGCTTTACCAGGCGCGTGTGCACCCACAGGGTCTCTTCTGGGGCACCGGTGCCCCAGGGGACCCCCTCAGGTGTGGTGGCACTCCAGGCCTGCCACATGAGGAACGTCGCCCCCAGGGGCCCGCCAAGGGGACCGTCATTCCCAGGCCCGCCGCCAAGGGGTAACGTCGCCCAAGGGGCCCTTCTTAGGGGAACTGATACCCCCAGGCTCTCTCCTCAGGGTCAGCGGTGGTGCCCCCAGGGATCTTCCAGAAGCAGTGGGGCCCAAAGGGCCGGCTAGACCCTAAGGACCCCTCCTGAGGAGCCCCTGCCGAGAGAACTGTAGCTCCGGATCGTGGTGTCGTACATATTACATAATGCCCAGCAATCCCTTACTTAACTGTGATTGGTGGACTAAAATGTAAATCCAAATAACAGCCAATAGAGAACAGCATGTCAGCACAACACCCCAGCTTATGTTTTCCTGTTGGATATTTATTCTCCTTTTACATTGTTGATGCAGGTGATGATACTGATATGCGATGGGTGGTGCTTTTTATTCATATCTCCCAGTGTTCTAAATGTGCAAAAAAACAACTGCCCCCACGGCCAATCCAGTGATAGTGCCCCCTGTGGCCCTGCTATTTGCCCTACTTCAGGTGCGTCGCCCTTAGGGGCCTTCCCGGGGCTGTCGGTGCCCCGAGGGGCCTTGCCATGGGTGGCGGCGCACCCAGGAGCCCCTGCCATAGGTGGTGGTGCACCAGGGCTTTACCAGGTGCGGTGGCACCCACAGGGTCTCTCCTGGGGCACCGGCAGGCCCTCAGGAACCTCTCAGGTGTGGTGGCGCCGGCCCGCCCAAGGAGGAACGTCACCCCCAGGGGCCCGCCAGGGGACCGTCGCACCAGGGGCCCGCCAGGTTAACGTCGCCCCAAGGGGCTCTTCTTCTTAGGGAAGGACGCCCCAGGGCTCTCCCTCAGAGTCAGCGGTGCCACCCCCAGGGGATCTTCCAGAAGCAGTGGGCCTCCAAGGGCCGGCGAAATCTCATGTTTCCCAGGGCCCTCCCAGAGGAGCCCCTGGCAGCCAAGAGAACTATAGCTTTGCGTCGTGGTAAGTCGTGCATATTACATACGTCCACCAATAATCATTTACTTAGCTGTGATTGGTGGATTAAAATATAAATCCAAATAACAGCCAATAGGGAGAATAGGGCAGACAGTCAGCACAACACCCCAGCTTATGTTTTCCTGTTGATATTTATTCTCCTTTACATTGTTGATGGTGTGATAATACTGATATATGCTATGGGCGGTGTTTTTATTCATATCTCCCATTGTTCTAAATAAAAAGTTCAACGCCCCCACACGTCAATCATCCAGTGATAGTGTCCCCTGGGCCCTCCTATTTGCTCCTACTGCGGGTGTCGCCTTAGGGGCTATCCCGTGGGTGTCGGTGCCCCCATGGGACCTCTCAGGTAAAAGCACACCCCAGGGGCCCACCAAGGGAAACGTCGCCCCCAGGAGCCTGTCAAGGGTAAATGCCCGCCCCAAGGGGCTCTTCTATAGAAGCGATGCCCCCATTTCAAGCTCCCTCCTCAGGTCGTGGTGCCCCCAGGAGATCTTCTCCAGAAGCAGTGAGCCCCCAAGAGGCAGTTGGACCCTCAGGAGCCCTCCCCAGGGCCCTACCAGAGGAGCCTCCTACCAAGAGACCTATAGCTTCGGTCGTGGTGTCCTATTATAGTTACATACGTCCACCAATCACTTACTTAACTGTGATTGGTGGACTAAAATGTAAATCCAAATAACAGCCAATAGAGAACAGAGCAGACAGTCAGCACAACACCCCAGCTTATGTTTCCTTTTCCTGTTGGATGAGTTCCCTCCTTTACATTGTTGATGGTGTGATGATACTGATATGCGATGGGTGGTGTTTTTATTCATATCTCCCAGTTCTAAAATGCAAAAAACAACGTCTCACGGCCAATCCAGTGATAGTGCCCCCTGAGGCCCTACTATTTGCTCCCACAGGTGTCGCCCTTAGGGGCCTCCTGGCCAATGGTGCACCCGAGGCCTCGCCATGGGTGGCGGCGCACCCAGCGGCCCTGCCATGGGTGGTGGCGCACCCAGGGGCTTTACCAGGTGCGGTGTATGCCCACAGGGTCTCTCCTAGGGGCACCGGTGCCCCCAGGACACCTCCTCAGGTGGTGGCGCCCCTCAGGCCCGCAAAGGAAGAACGTCACCCCAGGGCCCGCCAAGGCAACGTCAGATACCCCCAGGGCCCACCACAAGGCAACGTCGGTTCCCCAGGCCCGCCAAGGGGTAACGTCGCCCCAAGGCCCCTTCTTAGGGAAGCGATGCCCCCAGGAACTCTCCCTCAGGGTCAGCGGTACCCCCAGGGGATCTTCTAGAAGCAGTGGGGCCCCAAGGGCCGGTTAGACCCTAAGGGCCCTCCCAGAGGAGCCCCCGCGGAGAGAACTGTAACTCCGGTCGTGGTGTCAGACATATTACATAACACGCCCAGCAATCCCTTACTTAACTGTGATTGGTGGACTAAAATGTAAATCCAAATACAGCCAATAGAGAACAGAGCAGACAGTCAGCACAACACCCCAGCTTATGTTTTCCTGTTGATATTTATTCTCCTTTTACATTGTTGATGGTGTGATGATACTGATATGCGATGGGTGGTGTTTTTATTCATATCTCCCAGTGTTCTAAATGTGCAAAAACAACTGCCCCACGGCCAATCCAGTGATAGTGCCCCCTGAGGCCCTACTATTTGCCCTACCAGGTGCGTCGCCCTTAGGGGCTCTCCCCGGGCTGTCGGTGCCCCGAGGGGCCTGCAAGGCTATGGGTGGCGGCGCACTCCAGGAGCCCTGCCATGGGTGGTGGTAGTGGGTGCACCCAGGGGTTTTACTCAGGTGCGGTGGCACCCACAGGGTCTCCTTGGGGCACCGGTACATTCCCCAGGACCTCTCAGGTGTGGTGGCACACACCCCAGGGCCCGCCAAGGAGGAACGTCACCCCAGGCCCGCCAAGGGGGACCGTCAGTTCCCCCAGCCCGCTAAGGTAACGTCGCCCCAAGGGGCCCTTCTTAGGGAACTGATGATTCCCCAGGGCTCTCCCTCAGGGTCAGCGGTGCCCCCAGGGGATCTTCCAGAAGCAGTGGGGCCCCAAGGGCCGGCTAGACCCTAAGGACCCTCCCAGAGGAGCCCCCTGCCGAGAGAACTGTAGCTCCGATCGTGGTGTCGTACATATTACATGCTACGTCCAGCAATCCCTTACTTAACTGTGATTGGTGGACTAAAAATGTAAATCCAAATAACAGCCAATAGGAGAACAGAGCAGACAGTCAGCACACCCCAGCTTATGTTTCTTCCTGTTGGATATTTATTCTCCTTACATTGTTGATGGTGTGATGATACTGGATATGCGATAAGTGGTGTTTTTATTCATGTCTCCCAGTGTTCTAAATGTGCAAAAACAACTGCCCCACGCCAATCCAGTGATAAAGTGCCCCCTGTGCCCTACTATTTGCCCTACCACAGGTGCGTCGCCCTTAGGGGCTCTCCACAGGTCGGTGCCCCGAGGCCTTGCCATGGGTGGCGCACACCCAGGAGCCCCTGCCATAGGTGGTGGTGCACCTAGGCTTTACCAGGTGTGCGTGCACCCATAGGGCCCTCTTCCCTTGGGGCACCGGTGCCCCTAGGAACCTCTCAGTGGTGGCGCCGGCCTCGTGCCAGGAGGAACGTCACCCCCAGGGGCCTCGCCAAGGGGACCGTCGCAACCAGGGGCCCGCCAGTGGTTAACGTCGCCCCCAAGGGGCTCTTCTTAGGGGAAGCGATACCCCCAGGGGCTCTCCTCAGGGTCAGCGGTGCCTCTAGGGATCTTCCAGAAGCAGTGGGGCCCAAGGGCCGGCTAGACCCCTAAGGGCCTCCCAGGGGCTCCTCCCAGAGGAGCCCTCCCCCAGCCAAGCAGAACTATAGCTTTGCGTCGCGGTGTCGTGTGCTATTACATACGTCCACCAATCATTTACTTAGCTGTGATTGGTGGATTAAAATATAAATCCAAATAACAGCCAATAGGAGAATAGGGCAGACAGTCAGCACAACACCCCAGCTTATGTTTTCCTGTTGGATATTATTTATTCTCCTTTACATTGTTGATGGTGTGATAATATTGATATGCTATGTGGCGGTGTTTTTATTCATATACCCTCCCATTGTTCTAAGTAAATGTGCAAAAACAACTGCCCCCACACGTCAATCCAGTGATAAGTGTCCCCTGGGGCCCTCCTATTTGCCCTACCAGGTGCGTCGCCCTTAGGGGCTATCCCGTGGGTGTCGGTGCCCCATGGACCCTCTCAGGTGTGTGTTAGCGGCCCCCAGGGGCCCAACAAATTCAAGGGAAACGTCGCCCCAGGAGCCTGTCAAGGGTAACGTCGCCCCAAGGGCTCTTCTATAGGCGATGTTCCCCACGCGGCTCTCCTCAGGGTCAGCGGTGCCCCCAGGAGATCTTCCAGGAAGCAGTGGCCCAAGAGGCAGCTGGACCCTCAGGAGCCCCTCTCAGGGGCCCTGCACCAGAGGAGCCTTACCAAGAGAGACCTATATAGCTGGTCGGTGTCCTACATATTATACGCCCACCAATCACTTACTTAACTGTGATTGGTGGACTAAAATGTAACCAAAATGACATCCAATAGGAGAACAGGGCAGTCAGTCAGCACACAACACCCCCAGCTATGTTTTCCCGTTGGATATTTATTCTCCTTTACATTGTTGATGGTGTGATGATACTGATATGCGATGGGTGGTATTTTTATTCAAATCTCCCAGTGTTCTAAATGCAAAAAACTGCCCCCACGGCCAAGAAGGATAGTGCCCTGAGGCCCTACTATTTGCCCTACCAGGTGCGTCGCCCAGGGCTCTCCCGGGGCTGTCGCGGTGCACCCGAGGGGCCTCGCCATGGCGGCGGCGCACCCAGCGGCCCCGCTGGGTGGTGGCGCACCCAGGGGCTTTTACCAGGTGCGGTGGCGATCTACAGGGTCTCTCCTAGGGGCACCGGTGCCCCCAGGACACCTCTCAGGTGTGGTGGCGCCCTCAGGGGCCCGGGTAAAGGAAGAACGTCACCCCAGGCCCGCCAAGGGGTAACGTCGATTCCCCAGGGGCCCACCACAAGGGTAACGTCACCCCAGGGGCCCGCTGGGGTAACGTCGCCCCCAGGCCCTTCTAGGGAAGCGATGCCCCCAGGAACTCTCCCTCAGGGACAGCGGTACTCTTAGGATCTTCTTCCAGAAGCAGTGGGCCCCCAAGGGCCGGCTAGACCCTAAGGCCTCCCAGAGGAGCCCCCTGCCGAGAGAACTGTCGCCCGGTCGTGGTGTCGCATATATTACATACGCCCAGCAATCCCTTACTTAACTGTGATTGGTGGACTAAAATGTAAATCCAAATAACAGCCAATAGGAGAACAGAGCAGACAGTCAAAGCACAACACCCCAGCTTATGTTTTCCTGTTGGATATTTATTCTCCTTTTACATTGTTGATGGTGATGATACTGGATATGCGATGGGTGGTGTTTTTTATTCATATCTCCCAGTGTTCTAAATGTGCAGTAAAAACAACTGCCCCCACGGCCAATCTTACAGTGATAAGCCCCCTGAGGCCCCTACTATTTGCCCTACCAGGTGCGTCGCCCTTAGGGGCTCCTCCCGGGACTGTCGGTGCCCCGAGGGCCTGCCATGGTGGCGGCACCCAGGAGCCCCTGCCATGGGTGGTGGTGCAACCAGGGCTTTCCAGGTGCTGTGGCACCCACAGGTCTCCTGGGGCACCGGTGAAGATTCCAGGGGACCTCTCAGGTGGTGGCACACCCCCAGGGGCCCGCCAAGGAGGAACGCGTCAAGATTCCCAGGCCTGCTAAGATGTAACGTCGCCCCAAGGGGCTCTCCTTTTCTTAGAGTAGCGCGATGCCCCAGGGGCTCTCCCTGGGTCACGGTACCCCCAGGGATCTCCAGGCAGTGGGGCCCCCAAGGGGGCCGGCTAGACCCTTAGCTTCCCTCCCAGGCCCTCCCAGGGAGCCCCAGCCAAGAGAACTATAAGCTTTATGTCGTGGTGTCGTGCATATTACATAATGTCCACCAATCCCTTTACTTAGCTGTGATTGGTGGATTAAAAATATAAATCCAAATAACAGCCAATAGGAGAATAGGGCAGTCGTCAGCACAAACACCCCAACTTATGTTTTCCCTGTTGATATTTATTCTCCTTACATTGTTGATGGTGTGATGATACTGATATGCTATGGGCGGTGCTTTCTTTATTCATATCTCCCATTGTTCTTAAAATGTGCAAGTAAAAAACAACTGCCCCTCACACGCCAATCCAGTGATAGTGTCCCCTGGCGCCCTCCTATTTGCCCTACCAGGTGCGTCGCCCTTAGGGGCTATCCCGTGGGTGTCGGTGCCCCATGGGACCTCTCAGGTGTTAGCACCCCAGGCCCAACACTCAAGGGAAACGTCGCCCCCAGGAGCCTGTCAAGGGGTAACGTCGCCCTAAGGGGCTCTTCTATAGAAGTGATGCCCCCATTTGGGCTCTCCTCAGGGTCAGTGCCCCAGGGATCTTCCAGAAGCAGTGGCGCCCCCAAGAGGCAGCTGGACCCTCAGGAGCCCTCAGGGGGCCCCTACCAGAGGAGCCTCCTACCAAGAGACCTATAGCTTCGGTCGTGGTGTGTCCTATTATATATATATTACGTCCACCAATCACTTACTTAACTGTGATTGGTGGACTAAAATGTAAATCCAAATAACAGCCAATAGAGAACAGAGTTGAGACAGTCAGCACAACACCCCCAGCTTATGTTTTCCTGTTGATATTTATTCTCCTTACATTGTTGATGTAGGATGATATTTCGATATGCGGGCCGGGTGGTGTTTTTATTCATATCTCCCAGTGTTCTAAAATGTGCAAAAACAACTGCCCCCACGTCCAATCCAGTGATAGTGCCCCTGAGGTCTCTACTATTTGCCTTACCAGGTGCGTCGCCTTAGGGGCTCTCCTGGGCTGTCGGTGCCCCGGAGGGGGCCTTGCGGCCATAGGTGGCGGCGCACCCAGGAGCTCCTGCCGGGTGGTGCACCCAGGGGCTTTGCATCAGGTGCGTGGCACCCACAGGGTCTCCTTGGGGCACCGGTGCCCCCAGGGACCTCTCAGGTGTGGTGGCACACCTAGGCCCGCTGGCGAGGAACGTCACCCCCAGGCCCGCCAAGGGGACCGTCGCCCTGTGGCCCGCTGGGTAACGTCGCCCCAAGGGGCTCTTCTTAGGGGAAGCCATGCCCCCAGGGGCTCTCCTCAGGGTCATGGTGCCCCCAGGGGGATCTTCCAGAAGCAGTGGGCCCCAGGGGTGGCTAGACCCTTAGGGGTTCTCCCAGCAGGGGCCTCCCAGGGGAGCCCCCAGCCAAGAGAACTATAGCTTTGGTGTCGTGGTGTCGTGCATATTACATACGTCCACCTCATCCCTTACTTAGCTGTGATTGGTGGATTAAAATATAAATCCAAATAACAGCCAATAGGAGAATAGGGCAGTCAGTCAGCACAACACCCCAACTTGTTATGTTTTCCTGTTGGAGGCCTATTCTCCTTTACATTGTTGTTGGTGTGATGATACTGATATGCGATGGGCGGTGATTTTATTCATATCTCCCAGTGTTCTAAATGTGCAAAAACAACTGCCCCCACATCGCCAATCCAAAGTGATAGTGTCCCCTGAGGCCCTACTATTTGCTCCTACCAGGTGCGTCGCCCCAGGGGCTCTCCCAGGGCTGTCGGTGCCCCCTGAGGGGCCTTTAAGCTAAGGGTGGCGGTGCACCCAGGGCCCTGCCATAGGTGTGGCGCACCCAGGGGCTTTACCACAGGTGCTGCGGCGGCCCACAGGGGTTCTCCTAGGGGCACCGGTGCCCCCAGACACCTCTCAGGTGTGGTGGCGCCCCTCAGGGGCCCGCCAGGCGGGGAACGTCGAATTCCCAGGCCCGCCAAGGGTAACGTCGATTCCCAGGGCCCGCCAAGGGGCAACGTCACACCCCAGGGGCCCGCCACAGGGTAACGTCGCCCAAGGGGCCCCTTCTTAGGGCGATGCCCCAGGAACTCTCCTCAGGGTCATGGTACCCCCAGGGGATCTCTTCCAGAAGCAGTGAGGCCCCCAAGGGGCCGGTTAGTGACCCTAAGGGGCCCCTCACAGAGAGCCCTCCCTTGCCGAGAGAACTGTAGCTCCGGTCGTGGTGTGTCAAGATATATTACATACGTCCAGAAAGTAACCCCTTACTTAACTGTGATTGGTGGACTAAAATAAATCCAAATAAATAAGCCAATAGAGAACAGAGCAGACAGTCAGCACAACACCCCAGCTTATGTTTTCCTGTTGATATTTATTCTCCCTACATTGTTGATGGTGTGATGATACTGATAGCGCGATGGGTGGTGTTTTTTATTCATATCTCCCAGTGTTCTAAATGTGCAAAAACAACTGCCCCACGGCCAATCCAGTGATAGTGCGCCCTGAGGCCCTGGTACTATTTGCCCTACCAGGTGCGTCGCCGTTAGGGGCTCTCCCAGGGCTGCCGGTGCCCCGAGGGCCTCGCTGCGGCGCGCACCCAGAGCCCTGCCATGGGTGATGGTGCACCCAGCAGGGGCTTTACCAGGTGCAGTGGCACCCACAGGGTCTCTCCTCCTTGGGGCACCGGTGCCCCAGGGACCTCTCAGGTGTGGTGGCAGATTCCCCAGGGCCCGCCAAGGAGGAACGTCACCCCAGGGCCCGCCATGGGAGACCGTCACTCCCCAGGCCTGCCAAGGAGGAACGCCCACCCCAGGGGCCCGCCAGTGGTAACGTCGCCCCGCGGGGCTCTTCTTAGAGCGATGCCCCCAGGCCTCCTCAGGGCCAGCGGTGCCCCCAGGGATCTTCGAGAAGCAGGGCCCCAAGGGCCAGTTAGACCCCAGCAGCCCCAGGCCTCCCAGAGGAGCCCCTGCCGAGAGAGAACTGTAGCTCTGGGTCGTGGTGTCGTACATATTACATACGTCCACCAATCCCTTACTTTTACTGTTATTGGTGGATTAAAATATAAATCCAAATAACAGCCAAAGGAGAACAAGGCAGTCAGTCAGCACAACACCCCAACTTATGTTTTCCTGTTGGATATTTATTCTCCTTTACTCTGATAAAAAGTTCTTGCTTGCCAGATTCATCCAAGTTTTGGTGATTGCTATAACGTCTACATTCTCCATACATACAACCGCTCTCAGCAAGTCTATTTTATTTCTAATGCCCTTCCTGGTACTGTTTTACCCCGTGTCCTGAGTAACCAATTTTACTTCCCAGACCTGCTTGTTTTTGACCCCACTTACCCCGACCTCTCTCTACTGGCGAAACCCCTTTGAGTATTTCACGCCCACGGATGCAGACAACGTCTTTACCTCCCCGAGACAAGTGTACTCCGTCACGACTGCACAGGTAGTCGTTGCCATTGAATGGTTGCCAGTTATCAGTGAATGCCCAACCCATTGCTTGCACAATGTTTTACCAGTCGGCAATTGCCCTGACAGCCATTTACGACCAACTCCTGTTCTAGG